ATAATTACCATTTGACACCGACTTTCCCAAGATCAATGTTCTTATTTTCTCTTGTTTTAAGGCAAGGGTCTCACTACGAAGCTGAGGCTGTCCTTGCATTACTGAGGCCTCCCAAGTACTCTAATTACAGGTGCGTGCCACTGAGCCCCAGCGAGGTCAACTTCATACTCAATGCACAGGTGAGAGCGTGTGGTACATTTCCTTCTGTGCACGATTTATGTCACTTAGCAAAACGATCTCCAGTGTCTGTCCATGTTGGCACATATGACAGGGTTTCACTCTTTGTATGGATGCCTAGTTTCTCATGGTGCATGTACCACATATTCTTTCTCCATGCATTAGTGATGGACACTTACGTTGTTTCTATTTCTTAGACACACATGTACAGATACTTCCTCTACATACTAATTTCATTTTCTTTTAACTAACACACACACACACACACACACACACACCACACAGAGGACTAAGTGAGGTTCTAGCTTCAACTTTCTGAGGAAGTGCCATTCTATCTTCTATAATGGCTGTATTAATTTTCACTCCCATCAGCACCTTGTAACTGGAATTACAGATGACCATGAATGCCATTCTGGGTGCTTGGAACTGAACCTAGATCCTCTGAAAGAGCAACTAGTTCTCTTAACTGCTGAACCATCTCTCCTGCCCCCAATAAAGCATTCTTAAGGGAGTGAGGTAATATCTTATTGTAGTTGAAATTGAATGATGCTTACTAATTTTGAACACTCATTCATCTAGCTGTTGGCCAAGTGTCTTTTTCAAAAAAATTGTTTGCATATATTTATTTATTTATTGGGGGGACAACATACCATGGCAAGCATGCAGAGATCAAAGGGCAACTTGTGGGCGACAGCTTGCTCCCTCTACCATGTAGGTCTCAGGGACAAGATTCAGGCCATTAGGCTTGGTGGCAAGAGCCATCTTGTTGGTCCTGTATGACTTTTTTTTGATAACTATTCATTTAGATCTATTTTCTTCTTCTTCTTCTTCTTCTTCTTCTTCTTCTTCTTCTTCTTCTTCTTCTTCTTCTTCTTCTTCTTCTTCTTCCTTTTTTATTTTTTATTTTTATTTTTTGGTTTTTCAAAACATGGTTTCTCTGTGAACCAGTCCTGGTTGTCCTGCAACTCACAACTGCCCAGACCTATTTTCTATTCTTAGCTGGGTCACTTATTGTCTGTGTGTGTGTCTGTTTTTGCTATCGAGTATTTTTAGTTCGGTAGGTATTTTGGATATTAATCCCCTATAGAAGTCTAGTGTGCAAATATTTTTTCATTCTATTATATATTGTCTCTTCAAACTTTCTTTCTTTATTTGTAGCAAGAAGCTTTTTAATTTAATAAGTCCCATTGGTATAATTTTGCTTTTGTTTCCTGGGCTTTTGGGATCTTTTTTGTTAAAAAAAAAAAGTTCCTGCGTTTAAGCCATTTTCCCCTCTTTATTTCATGTCTTGCATTTACATCATTTGAGTTAGTTTTTGTAACTGGTAAAAGTGAGAGTAACCATGTTTTGTTTCCCATCTTAAAGAAAAAGTGTAGCTTTTTCTCATTCAGAATAATGTGATGTTTATCATACGTGATCCATATTGCACTGAAGCACATACACTCTACATATAATTTGTTTAGTAATTTTATTATGAAAGAATGTTGAATCTTATACAACACATTTTCTGCAACTACTGAGATGGTCATGTGGTTTTCATGGAGGACTTAGTACTACCAAGTCAGTCATGATGTTTGTTATTGGTCTGGTCATTTTTAAAAAAGATTCTTATGTTGATTCTATCTTGGAAAAATTTTCTTTTAGTTTATATTTAAATTTATTCAACACAGAGGTACTGGGACTGATAGTGACAGCCCGGAACACACTCAGGAGGCAGGTGACACAGGTTGAGAGGGCTCTCATCAGCCTGCTTACATAAAAAGTTGTCTTACATTTGAAGTCATTCTCAAGATTCAGTGACTCAAACATGTCCCAATGCCAAATATTCCCTCCTGTAAGGAACAGCACTATGTGGATGAGGGTCAGTTTACAGATCAAGTACATGGGCATAGATCTGTGACCTAGGATTATGAAAGTGTAAGAAAAAAGGAGACAAATGTAGGCTAGGACTCCAAGTGCAGCTTGGAAATTAAGGACATTCTTTAATGAAGACAAACGTGGAAAGTGTACTCATCTTAACACCATAGTAGAAGCATATTTCTGGAATAAATATATGCCTGGAATAAATAATAGTGTATACATCAGACTGGGATTCACTAGTCAGTGTCTATATCATCATTCAATTGTCCCTACTTATTCTTTTTTATTGATTTTTATTGAGCTCTATATTTTTCTCTGCTCCCCTCCCTGCCTTTACCCTCCTGCCTTCAGCCCTCCCTCAGGGTTCCCATGCTCCCAATTTACTCAAGAAATCTTTCCTTTTTCTACTTTCTACCTCCCATGTAGATTAGATCTATGTAAGTCTTAGTGTCCTCACTGTTGTCTACGTTCTCTGGGATTGTGGCTTGTAAACTGGTTTTCTTTGCTTTATGTTTAAAGACCACTTATGAGTGAGCACATATGATATTTGTCTTTCTGTGTCTGAGTTACCTCACTCAAAATAATGTTCTCTAACTCTATCCATTTTCCTGCAAAATTCAAGATGTCGTTATTTTTTTCTGCTGTGTAGTACTCCATTGTGTAAATGTACCACATTTTTCTTATCCATTCTTTGATCGAGGGGCATTTAGGTTGTTTCCAGGTTCTGGCTGTGACAAACAATGCTGCTATGAACATAGTTGAGCACATGTCCTTATGGCATGATTGAGCATCCTTTGGATATATACCCAAAAGTGGTATTACTGGGTCTTGAGAAAGGTTATTTCCTAATTTTCTGAGAAATTGCCACACTGACATCCAAAGGGGATGTACCAGCTTGCACTCCCACCAGCAATGCAGGGGTGTTCCCTTTTCCCCACAACCTCTCCAGCATAAGTTGTCATCAGTGTTTTTGATTTGGCCATTCTTAACAGGTGTAAGATAGAATTTCAGAGTTGTTTTGATTTGCATTTCTCTGATGACTAAGGATGTTGAACATTTCCTTAACTGTGTTTCAGCCATTTAAATTCCTCTGTGGAGAGCTCTCTGTTTAGATCTGTACTGCATTTTTTTTATTGGATTATGTGATCTTTTAGTGTCCAATTTCTTGAGTTCTTTGTATATTTTGGAGATCAGACCTCTCTCTGATGTGGGGTTAGTGAAGATCTTTTCCCATTCTGTAGGCTGCTGATTTGTCTTGTTGACCATGTCCTTTGCTTTACAGAAGCTCTTTAGTTTCAGGAGGTCCCATTTATTAATTGTTTCTCTCAGTGTCTGTACTGCTGAGGTTCTATTTAGGAAGTAGTTTCCTGTGCCAATGCATTCAAGTGTACTTCCCACTTTCTCTTCTATGAGGTTTAGTGTGGCTGGCTTTATGTTGAGGTTTTTGATTCATTAGGACTTGAGTTTTGTGCATGGTGATAGATATGGGTCTATTTTTATTCTTCTACGTATTGATATCCAGTTATGCTAGCACCACTTGTTAAATATGCTTTCTTTTTTTCATTTGATATTTTTTGCTTCTTTGTCAAAAATCAGGTGTTCGAAGGAGTGTGGATTAATATCCGGGTCTTCTATTCAGTTCCATTGGTCCTCCTGTCTGTTCTTATGCTAATACCAGGCTATTTTCAGTACTGTAGCTCTGTAGTAGAGTTTGAAGTCAGGGATCATGATGCCTTCAGAAGTTCTTTTATTGTTCAGGATTGTTTTGGCTATCCTGGGTTTTTTGCTTTTCCATATGAAGTTGAGTATCATTCTTTCAAGGTCTGTGAAGAATTTTGCTGGGAGTTTGATTGGCATTGCATTGAATCTGTAGATTGCTTTCGGTAAGATTGCCAGTTCTACTATGTTAATTCTGCCTAACTAAAGAAAAGTATTGTCTAGGAATCTGTCCATTTTTCTAGATTTTCCAATTTTTGGTGTATAGGTGTTCATAATAATCTGTAATGAACTTTAAAAGATATTTATTTTCTTTCTGATTGTGTGCATGTGTGTGTGTCTGTGGAGAGCGGAGGTGTTGGCCTCTAGAACTGGAGTTACAGGCAGTTGTGAGTCACTGAGGCACTGAGAACTTAACTCATGTCCTTTGCAAGCGCAGGGTGTGCTCTCAACTGCTGAGCCATCTTTCTAGGCCTGTAGTGAGCTTTTATACGGCTGTGGTGTCTATTGTAATGTCTCTCTTCTCATCACTGATTTTGAGTCTTCTGTCTCTCTTTCTCCTAGTCCAGCTACAAGACTGTAGGCGGAGACTGCTTGCTTCCTGGCTGTCCAGACCAAAAATAATTATATAAAAACTATATTAATTACAACACTGGTTGGCCAACTAGCTCATGCATATTTTTAGCTAACTCTTACATCTTGAATTAACCCATTTCTATTCATCTATGTATCACCACGAGGTTCGTCGTTTACTGATAAAGTTCTCTGGCAACTGTCTCCTTTGGCGGCTCCATGGCGTCTCTCTTGCTCTGCCTTCTTTCTTTCAGCATTCAGTTTAGTTTTCCTGACTAACTCTATTCTGCCCTGCCACAGGCCAAAGCATCTTCTTTATTAATCAATGATAATAAAACATATTCACAGCATAAGAAGGGAATCCTACATCACAAAGTAATCATTTTTCTTTGTCTTTTTGGAGAACAAACTATTTTAATTATCTTTCACATTTTTTTCTTTTTATTCATTTCATTTATTTTTTTAAATATTTGTTTATTTATTATGTATACAATATTCTTTCTGCATGTATGCCTGTATGCCTGAAGGCCAGAAGAGGGCACCAGACCTCATTTCGGATGGTTGTGAGCCACCATGTGGTTGCTGGGAATTGAACTCAGGACTTTCGGAAAAACAGGCAATGCTCTTAACCACTGAGCCATCTGTTCAGCCCCCTCATTTCATTTATTTTTTGCTCTGATCTAGTCTCCCTCCCTTCCCCCTCTTTCTCTCCAATTTATGGGTTGATTTGCTCCGGTTTTCTAGTTCTCTGGGATACCCTGATTGCTTATTTGAGATCAGGATGAACCAGAGAGTATACAAAAATGATTTATCACCTCCCCAAGTCTCTACCCAGAGTAAAGACAGGTCCAGACACTTCGGCCACAGCTCCCACCCTGTATCTAAGCTCTAATGGTTTTTTCCTTTCTCTGGGCAGAATCACCACAGAGCAACCAGCTCCAGACTCCTAAACCACAAATATACAGCTCTTTAAATGAATGTGCACCACGGATACTAAGAGTGAGTTTTACTTTATGCAAATGTATCTCATTTTACTCTGTTTTTACACTACCAAATAATGCTTCACAGGATCTAACCATTTGCTGTTTGTGTAAATCTCATTTATTGCTTCCAATTACTGTAAATGAATCACGATATAAAGCTAAGCATGGTGGCACACACCTTTAATGCCAGCACTTGCAAGGCAGTCCAGCCAAGGTTATATGGCAAAACGCTTTACCGGCACCCTGGATTTAATCTCCAGCAGCACCAAGACAAACAAGCAAACGTAATAGTAAATGGCTTCAGTTAAGAAGCCTTGCTCTACCTGTCTTTAAAGGAATCACCTGTTGCATTTTTTCTTCTGTTTTGCTTTTATCTGCTAAGTCATCTCTACTGGAGTGCCCAGGACGCACGCCTGGACTAAGGCAATGGAGGAAAGTTGCAGAAAAAAAAAGACGTTATTAAAAACTTAGGAAAACACTGACAGAGCCAAGGAAAGAAGAGTGGCCACACTGACTACTACCTCCCTAGAAGCCCCAAACCCCAAGTAACAGAGGCTCCACTTAATGAAACTTACTTGCATTCTCCACCAGTATCTTGGGCATGCGCTGGCGGTTCATGAGGAGTGGGAAAGGATCTCTTCCGTTGTTCCGCTCATGGACCTCTCGGATCTCCACTGTGTCATCCATGAGGTAGTAGTGAATGATGTAGTGTCGGCACTCCCCAAACAAGCTATCCGTGTCGTCCCAGATGGCATAGAATCGAAGAACCTTTGAGGAGGCCAAAGTGATGCTTTAAGATTCTAAAACAGAAGTCTTAACTTCGCTATGACAAGTGTCTATCAGTAATAAAAAGTAGCTGAAACACTTTCAGACAGTATATCAAAAAAACCTAACAAACAAACAAACAAAAAAAACAAAACAAACAAAACAAAACCAAGGATAGGAAAATATCCAAAATCATGTACTACATATTAACATACCAAAAGAATAGCACAAGCTTTCTCAGTTTGTGCCAAGACAGGAGAGCTTACTTTGGCCCCAAATATTAGTCTGGGAAAGAGAAGCTGAATAAAAAGAAAAGGGGAGGCTTGCCTATAAAGGTAATTTATGCATAGTAACAAAGATACATGGTGAATTGTGTGTATAGAACTGGTATGGAAAGAATTTTCATTAATAAGCCTATCATTCTTTTGGGACTACCAAAACACATCTACTACAGGATGGACAGAATCTTCTAATTTAAGGTAACGGCAGAAAGCCAGGTGGGGTGGTACGCACCTGTAATCTCAGTACGTGGGATGCAGAGGCAGAAAAAACATGAGTTCCAGCCCAACCTGGGGTGGACAGCAAGTTTGAGGCCAACTTGCCTATTTAGAGACACTTTGTATTCTGGAAGCAGAATTCCCAGGATTTCTGGGACTTTGAAGCACCTCTGCCCCCCATAGCAAGCTCTGAGCCAACCAGAGCTACATAGTGAGACTCTGACTCAATAAAAGAAGCCAAAAGTAAACAAATGAACAAACAAGATCTCAATCCTAAACCTATGGTAACACTGGGTAGAACGTTCTGAAGAAAAAGAAGTTAAGATTGCAGGAAATTAAGGCAAAAATTTCAGAGTAATCCCTATTATTTTTCCTCTTTATTGGTGAATGAAGATTCAGCTCTACTTCCCCACTGTAGTTCACAGGGGGTGGGGCTGCCAATCCGGGCAGAGTGAGAAAACACGTTCAGAGCATTCTGCACTCTAACACTGATGCAGTATTCAGCAGGGATGCATTTCAGATGGGGTTCCTGGGAAATCAAGGAGCATAATTATTTGAATTAACAACTTTATTTCATTTTAAGAGCTATTCAGTACCAGAACATGTAACAGTGTTAAACTTTCCCCCCAGTTCTCCTAAGCCTGCCCAGAGGATTCTGTGAGATTAACTCATCGGGGGTGTAGTGTGCCAGTTGACTTTTATGTCAGCTTGACACAAGCTAGAGTCATCAGAGACGAGGGAGCCTCAACAGAGAAAATGTCTCCAAAAGAGCTGAATGTTGGCAAGCCGGTAGAACATCTTCTTAATGAGTGATGCCCAGTACACTGTGGATAGTGCCACCCTTGCGCTGGTGGTCCTGGGGTCTATAAGAAAGCAGGTTGACAAGCCATGAGGAACGAAGCCAGTAAACCGCACCCCTCCATGGCTTGTGTCAGCTCCAGACTCCAGGTTCCTACCCAGTTTAGTTCCTGTCCTGACTTCCTTCAGTGATAAACAGTGATGTGGGAGTGTAAGCTGAATAAACCCTTCCTTCTCCAGCTTGCTTTGGTCATGGTGTTTCTTCACAGCAATCGTAAGCTTAAGTAAGACAGGAAAAAAGAGATGCGGGATTTGAAATGGAAAGAGAGAAGTCGATGTAAGTGGCTCAGGAATTGCTTTTCCAGGTGGACTCATGCCGCAGGCTCCATTACATCTCTAATAATAGAGCTGAGGGCCTGCTAGATGGCCCATTAGGTAAAGGAACTTGCTGCTAAGCCTGACCACCTGAGTTCAATTCCCAGGACCCACACAACAGAATGAAAAAAATCAGTGTCCAGAAGTTGTCCTCTGACCTTCTCCAGTAGGCTGTGGCACACCAACATACATTTACATATCCCATAATTAATAAAATTTTAAGATAGTAAAAAATAGAAATCTAGGCATTGGTATACTTTTAGCCCTACAGGAAACTACTATGTGCCAATGGTTAGATTATATATATATATTGATGTACAATATATATGAAGGGCATCAAAACGTCTTCGCAATAAACACATATCCATACTCAAACAGATGAAAGCCTCCTCTATTAGGTCCCTTACTTGTTTGTCAAAGGTGAGAAATTGCTTCAGTTGGTCAAAGTCTGACGGGGTGATGTATTTACGAACAGGTTCTTTCCGGAGTTCAGTGTAAGGATCGAGAGGCATCTTCTCTGGTGGATTCACTTCAATTCCTTGACTTTCCAAAAATTCCTAAAATTTCAGGATTAATGTCAACATCCTTCTGAAGGTTTTAAATGTCATAAACCAATGGCCTGAAAATAAGTGTGATGGGACGAATGCTTTGCTGACATATTGGGCGTGTCTGAGAGATACCATCTCCAATGGCTCCACTCTACAGGGCAGACAACCACTGATATCTAACTGAGGTCTTCTTTATCGTATGGATGCTAAGCTAGTTGGAAGGCATCATAGTAAGATAACTGGACATCTTATCTATGAACTTATATCAGTCACGTTAGATGCCTAGGAACAAAATCTTGGCGTTAGTTTAAGACAAGCATCTGGTACCCAAGCATGGTTTCACAAGACATGTGTCTCACTTTTGTTATGGAGGTGAGTGCACCAGGGCCAAATTAAGATGGAATAATGTTCTTAAGCTTTATAATTCACTTAAAATAAGTATGTTATCACTTTTTTAAAAGAACTAAGACAAAGTTGGCATTGTTTTCCTAATGTCTATACTCTGTACTAAAGGTGTGTGTGTGTGTGTGTGTGTGTGTGTGTGCACAGTCACACAAACACTAACCTGCTTAGTGACTCCCCCCCCACAGCCACCAGGGTCTTTCCCCATCCACTAATGGATGAAGTAATGAAACACATCCCACCAGCTAGAGTGCTACTGCGGAGTCCCAGCCCACAATGGATACACCATACCTGGGTGAATCGGTCACAGTTGACAATTCGGAAAGTTTTGCCATAAATTGTGATGTCGATTCCTCGATTGAGGTCTTTCCAGTGGTAATGGTCTCCCACATTATTCTTGGGTAGTCGCTGGCGTTTGATTAGCTTGCCCTGTGGGATCCCGGAGTTCTCCACAACTGGCTCTATGACAGACATGCTGTCATCCTCTAGATAGTAGTAGATGTTCACCTGGCGGATTCGATAGTGCTCCTCGCTTGATATAGGAACATCTTCTTGGAAGTAGGCGCTAAATTTCAGCACCTGCAGTACACAAGAGAAGGGTTTTCATTGTCATCTGAGGAACACAAGCTACTGTCCTTAGAGAAGAACAATATAGGAAAAGTGGAACCCACCCGGCCACAGACCCATGGGACTGCATCTAGAAAAGTGCCCTCCCACGCTCAGAAGCATGTGTGCTCTACACAGACCAAAGCCTAGTCTCCGAGGAGTACTCATTTAATGTGAAATCAGAATGGTTTACAGGGTGCACATTCACAACTAAATTAAAACATATGATGAAAGCATATATTGACATGCTGTGGGATTACTTTCCATTTGGGGTACTTTATTTCATTTAGTGTTTCTGTTCAGAGAGACAAGGCATTAGAATTATGTTTGACATAGCCAAAGGTGTTTACCCAAACCTCTCCTTAAGGGGAGAGTGGAGGAAAATTAAGATCCTTAAATGAAGACATATATGTCTTAATGAGAAAATAAAAGTACAGATTTTTACAAAGTAGAAAATCAAGGTGAGAAGAAAACATGACGGGCTTCTGTTTGGTTGGAAGTGTCACCTCAGTCCCCTGGCGCCCTTTTTCTACAAAGAGTATGGATTGTTTTGTCAGGGGGCTTCACCCCAGCCCCTGCCATCCATTTTTGGCCATAAAACTTCATTTCAGGCCACCTCCCCTGGGAGTTGCCTCAATCCAAACTCCACTTCCATGAAAGTCCGCCAAACAGTGACCCCCCCCTCCCCAGGGAAGGTCAAGACCACTCCTACAGGCTATTTAAACTGCCCCCAGAGAATGGACACGTGGTCTCCCCTTTTCCCTTGCTGGTGGTAGGTCTGGTTCTCCTTTTCCCTCTCTGTGTTTTCTTGGGGGGCCACCTGGGAGCGTTGGCAGCCGTTAAACCTGGGCATCTTTTAATTCAGTCTGATTTGGTCTAATTTGGATTATTGCATCAGCGGAGAGGCTTGTGAGTTGAGAAAATACTTAACAGCTACTACTTAGGAAAGCTATGACTGTAAAGACGAAGTCCTTAAAATTCCAAAGAGAAAGAGGAATAAGACACATTCAGTGGTATATTTAAAGGAAAAGAAAGGAAGAAATGAACAATTTTAAAGTAATATATTGAAACAAATGGAAAAAGAATCCAAAGGAGAACACCACTACAGTAACACATAGAAAACGGGATGCGTTTGAGTCACAGAGTTATGAATACACAAAACATTGAAGTCAGAATTCATCAGCTCACTACTTTTACATAAGAAGAAACCTAGAATCTAGACGGTAACATGGTGGCTTTTTCTAAGGCTATACCTGAGTCAGAGCTGGGACCAAAGCTCTGCTGGACCCATGTTGTCTTCACACACTTCATGTCTTCTTAGATAGGGGCTACAGTGATTCAGAGGAGGAACCCACCCGTAAGGAAAAAGTGGTCAAATCATACTTCAAACTGAGAAGTGTGGAATTTGAGGAATGAGAGAGTTTTAGACTAAGCTGAGAGGGAAAGGGAGCGAGTCTAGACAAGGGTGACCAAGGGCAGGGGAAGGGAACTTGGGAGCATGCATAGTGTGGAGGCTAAGTGCTGGTCCTTCTGAAGAATGGGTCTGCCATAGGGAGCCAGCACAATGGGACAGCAGGAGGAGTCTGACAGGACCAGTGGTGGGGTGTAGGGTGTGGAGTGTGGGGCAGCGGACACCAACTAAGGTACTGAGGAAAACATAGTACTAACCGTACAGAGTGACCTCATAGAAAGGTAAATATGAGGAGAAGACGGCATTAACAGTGTGAGCAGTAAGGTGAAATCTGAACGTTATAACCAACATGATAGCGTAAACTGATACTGTAGGGAGTGATTTTAGATGCTGATCTGGGTTGCTTTTTAAAAATACAAGAGGTAGCAAATTCATTTAATTTGTTTTTATACTTGTTTAGTTTACCTTAATGCGTATTACTGTTTACTTGTGTGCCTGCTGAGTCATCTGGCACTGGGGTTACAGATGGTTGTGAGCTACCGTACAGGTCCTGGGGATCAAACCCAGGTCCTCTGCAAGACTTAACTGCTAAGCCATCTCTTTAGCTCCTCAAATTCTTAAGAATATGCATTTTAGCCCCTAACATAAACAATCGATGTAGATTACTCGATCTCCTATCTTCACACATCTACAAATGAACTGCTTCTATAAGAAAATTTTGTAAAAACTTAGAAAGGCTAAATAATGTACATACCTTAGTTCTTGCTTTAGAGCAATTTTATTGTGTTTAGACTCTTATTTTAAGTTTTATTTTATTTATTTATTTATTTGTGTGTGTGTGTGCGCGCGCGCGTGCACATGTATGCAAGTATCTGTGGACGCCCAAAGGGCATCAGGGTTCCTAGAACTGAAGTTACTGGCAGTATGGTTGTAAGCCACCAGGGAAGAGCCGGATTGAACCTGTATTCTCAGGAAAAGCAGCCAGTGTTTCTAAGAGTGAATTCTCTCTCCAGCCCACTAACTGTTAATTTTAAAAGTCAGTTACCTCCTTCTTACTAAGAATACAGAGTTCTAGACCCCAATAAGGGAGCAACTGAGAATAATGCTAACACAAGAGGCTCTTAAAAGGTGTTAGGATGATTCCAGCTGTGCCAGGTAGGATGAGAACTGAGTAACATGTAGAAAGGAGGGGAAAATAATATTTAGATACTCTGTTTAAAAATGTATCTTTTCACTGAATTAATTTTACAGTGGCCTTGGCTCCCGGTGGTGTGTTCAAACTTCCTGAGTTTGTAGAGATCATATTGCTTGTTTGAACTTTGAAAATGATAGCAGAAATGAAAGAGAAATACTTGGCTTGGCATCTTACTGAACGTGGGGAGAAAATGTCAAGCATGAATGCTCAGAATCCAAACGGAGGAAGCAGATCTAGCAGCCCTCGGGGCCGGGTAATGAAGTACAGAGGCTAAGTGTGAAGCACAGCTCACCCAGGGGAGGGTTTCCCACTCTCGGGTGTGGCCTGTGGCTAAGGTCTGGCACTCAGTGAGGGCAGAATTTATAAATACTGACAGTGGAGAGCACCGAGCAGAGCGCTGCAGCCACAGCAGTAGGTGAGGTCTCCTAAGAAGGGAAATTCAAGAATGAGCACAGAAATTTGCAAACGCCTACATCAAGGAAGCAGTGAGACCAGAGAAAGAGCAACCTGATAGACAGGAGGGGGAACCAGGAGAATGAACAATCGTGTGTACAAGCTAAGATAGAGCCTGGGAGGGAGGGAGTGAAACAGGGCCTAGGAGAAGGGCCATGGACGTCTGTCCAAACTCAGCAAACAGGGCATCACTGTTCGTTGTCTCTAAGAAAGCAGTCTGGGGCTCGAGGGTGGGATAAAATTCTCTTC